CATAAGACAAGATTACAATGTATCAAAGATACTAGAAGTGATGGTTATTTCTTCTTGGTCCAAGAAGCCATGGCACTATTCAACCTATAAAACAAGATAATTAATACATGGAATTTTTTCCTTAGTGGCTTTACAAACCATTAGAAATTATAGCTTTTGAGTTCATTCTCTCCAATCATTAGAAATTAATAGATATGTTATTTTTGTTTAGCCTACAACATTCTCTCAAATGTAATATGACAAGTTCAATATGGCATATAATATGATGGTATAATAGCTATGTATAAAATCCATCTACTACTAACCACTCCATGATTCATCATACTTCATATATTTTGTAATTTTTAGGCATTGTATAATTATGGACAGTATTTGATAAGGCCAAATCAACCACATAATTGCCCTCTATTACCTAGTTTGTCTATGAAAAGTAGATAGATTGATATTACACCAATTTTAAGAATGCACTTCTATCAAATGTATATGGTAAGAAGGCATCTACATACATAATATGCTTATCTATGGTATGTGCATTTGTAGTCCATGATAATGTCAAGGACATGAACTAAAAGTTGATGCATAAACCAATGAAATCTGTATCAAAAAAAGAGTAATAAAATAAAAATAAGGAAGTACGTATATTAGAAAGAAACTATAATGGCTTATTGCCAAAAGACAAGGAAACTTGAGACTCTTGAAACTAGAATAGAAGCAAGAAAGGAATTGACAAGAGTGAAGAGGGCTTCATTCTTGTCTCTATATATAGTATCTAACTAGAAGCTATATGGCGATGTTCTATAGGACCTCCAATATGTGTTGACTTTATAGGACACATGCCTTGATTTACAAGGCAAGTTTTTCTATGTGCGATGTCGTGTTGTAACACGAGTATACCATGAAAATATAAAAAAAGGGGACTTTTATTAATGTTCAGTTACCTCGAATACTGGGAGCAACAACCAATTCTAGTACAAATACTGAGAGGCCAAGGTCAGTCATCCCGTTACAGTCAGCTGGGGTATACTGAAATGCTCCATTCGATTCCAATAACGGGAGTCAGCAGAAAGGGAAAGGACCAATTCAACAATGGGTGAGCCTAGTTCGAAGAGCCAATTGGATCCAATTTCAAGACATCCAATCCAGGTCCTATTACGGGCCTCTTATCCAATATGAGACCTGACTTGGTCGGGCAACCCAATGCGGTCCAATTACGGGAACATCCAGGTCTTATTACGGGCCTCTTAGCCAATATGAGACTTGAATTGGTCGGGCGACTCAATGTGGTCCCGATTACGGGGGTTTCGATTCCGTTTCAGGCTGTTCCGTCCTTTGTGCCGTTCCGAGAACGTCCTTTTGGTAAAAAGATCTCTTAAAGGTAAAAACGGAGGAGAAAGCTCTGATGGCGGGAGCCAATTCCAGATCCAAGATGGAAGATTGAAGAAATTGAGAGGCTAGGGTTTGAAAGAGGGGAGAGAAGGGTTTGAAGGGTTGGAGAGAGCTTCATGCTTCGGGCGGGGAAAAAAGACAGAGAATTGGGTTTTTTTTCTTCATAGGGTTTTGGGAAGATTGAGGCAATCGTTGCTGAAGTCAGTGCTGTACTGGTGAATCGGGGTTTTAATGAAGTGGGTGTGATTACTCTTGACTGTTTTGTGAAATCGAAGTTACGTCTATGATTGAAGAATTAAAAGGGTGTCTATAGGATTGAATATGCCGAGTGAATGAAATTTATTGGGTTAATCTAACAAGACAATCAATGGATACAAGGTCGTGAGTATAAAGCGACATTGGAGATTAGGAGATTGGGTTGTTTGGGATTCTCTGTAATGTCTAGAGACCTATTGGTTGGGACAAAAAGGATTTCGGTGAGTAGTCGAAGGACATCCGTATAGATTTACGATATATTCTTGCAGTTGTTTATATTCCAACAATCAAAAAACGATAGACTGCTTGGATATTAGTAAATCTCCATACTACCTTCTACAGCCAGACGCCCAGCGCGTTCTTAAGCAGGAAAGTACGTAATGTGACAGCGGGCCACATAGTTAGGACATAGTCAACTTGTTGACCACTTTTCTAATCCAAAAAATCAATCATAGACACCTATAAAATCAAAGCAATGTCTATGAAGTTTCTATAGAAGATATTATAGAATTAACTTACTTTTACCTACTTCTACTTATTTATACAGATAATTATTAGCTTATATGTATATGTCCGTGTCAAGCAACCTTTCACTTGAAGGCAATGAATTTTTTTTGTAAAATTTTCTTATAATTTCAATTAATTTTTTCTCTTATAGGTATAAATAAAATTAATTGTTATCAAAACAATAAATAAGAAAAAATAATAATATTATATTTAAGAATGTCAAATGGTACTCAAGCAAGCTACTCCAATATGTGTAGCTTAAAAATATTGATTATACTAGAATAGTATAATCAATTATTAGTAATACAAAGAAAGTCTTAGCAAAACTCGGCACCAAATTGGTACAATAGTTTGAAAAAAAATGGTGTTACTAAGATTTCTTATCTTCAATAGTGAATTAAAATCTATAATAGGTTCTTTTTGTCTCTATTGTGAAATTTGTATTTTAGCTCCTTTAAAAATTGTTGTACCTGGTACTAATTTTTCAATAGAATCTAGTGGTTTGGCAATGGTCTTTGATTAACCTTAGTTAGTTTAATTAGGAATTGTAATTGCTACCAAAGATAGTATGTTGTGAAGTTATAATTGATATCTTTTATTATAATATTATTTTTGCTTAGGCTGCATACAATTAGGCTAATTAAAATTTTAATTCTTTATAGTAAAAAAGTTTTTTTTGTTTATTTTAAAATTAATAATAATAATTTTAAAATTTTAAATTAAATTAAATTAAAAACTTATAATATATATATCTAATTATATTTTGTATGCTTTGATTATATCTTCTAGATATACCTTTACTATATTCAACTTTTCAAGTCATAATCATAATGATATAATCATATTGGATTGTTTTTATTAATATGATACACACAATGGCCATATGGCATAGAATATGGTTATATAATATTGTTGAAAGTGAGGTTTTTTTTGTTGATCTTTAATTTTGGTTTAATGGTAAAGAATAAGTTTAGCTATAATATATTAATATATAGTAAATTTTATTTTTATAGAAATTTCTTATATTTTTTTTAATAAATGATATGACTAAAAGATATAGTTGAAGGATAAAAATAATAATGTATTACTAAAATCTATTTTTTATATTATAATTTTTAAATTTTTTTAATTTTTATATTAACCCTTAATAATTAATTGTATTACTTGATGATATATATTTATTGATTCATTATTAACTTTCAATAGTAGTACAAAAAACTCTAATATATTTGTTTTTCGATCCCTCATCATAGTTATTGTCTTTGCAAAATACAATTGTTTTTAGATATTTGTAGTTTCTAAATTAATAATATATAAAAAATTAAATTCAATATTTTTTAGAAAGTATCATCATATACATTTTTATTTTTAATATTAATAATTTACTTTAAAAATAATCTTATATAATATTTTGGTGGAAGTTATGATTTCGTTCAATTTTATTTTAAAAAATATATTATATATTAAGGTTGTTAGGATCTTTTAGAATATTTTTTTAGTAAACTCTATATATTATTGAAAATTATAAAGAAGACAAGAGGAGTTTAAAATTTTATCATCTTTATGTATTTATATTCTTAAATAAAATAAAAAATATAATCTATATATTGATGCAATCTAAATTTATATGAAAAAATATAAATGATATTTAATAAAATAAATAGTATATCAAAATAAAACCTATATAGTATAATTTATTATTATTATTGAGATTTTGTATCTAATAATAAAGAACATTTTAGAAGCATGTTTAGAACTAATATGCCTACTTTTAAATAAATTGGTGATTTAGTTCTTTTTGGTATGAAACAACATCTACCTCTAGATTTAAAGAACCTACTAAATAAAAACTTAGAAGCCTTTGTTCACATTGTAATTACCTTTCTATAATTTTCATCTAATAGTACCTCAAAATAGAAGAATTATTTGAAGTTGTGAAATATACTATTTTAAAGGTTATAAAGCAATTTATAAGAAGTTTAGTATATAGAGGTAGTAACAAAATAAAATAGACTAATATTAAAAAATTGACTTTAGTAGAAAAAAAATTGAAAAGTGTCATGGAATACCTCAAATTTGTAGTGCTATTGACTATACATATATAAATATTGAACATCTAACATATATATACTATCTTTTGATTTATTTGACAAAGAAAAAAAATCTATGTTTTTTCATACCAGCCTTAATAAATTATGATACATGTTTTTGAGCAAATCTTATCATATTTTTAAGATATAGATGTATTATTATAATTATAAGTTAAAAAAACAAAATATCATAGAAAATACATATTATAATAGAAATTAAATTAAATAATACATCTTTAAATTTTCTTGCTTATATATATATACCCATAATATTTTTTAAATTTAAAGTCTTTTATGTCTTGACATCATCATTTTTATAGTTCATATCACTATAAAGCTCTAAAATTTTTCCATATTTCTTTATTGTTTTTAAATATTAAAACCAAATTGTATTCTTAACACATAGAATACTTGTAAGCAGTTCATTGTATATATGTTTATATATATATATATATATTTCGTGTACTTTATTCAAGAAATCTAATAACAACATTAATTGTATATATATATATATATATATATATATATATATATATATTTATTTATTTATTTTGATTTTTAATTTTTTTTTCTTCTTCTTTTTCCACCAACATTACTATCAATATTAATGTCTTAAGTGACCTACTTTTTAGTACCTGAAATTGCATTTGATAATTCATGGATGCTCATCAGACAAACAATCATCGATATATTTCATCCAACATACGTGGGAGTAACGAACAGAGTTTCTGTTGACTACTAATTTCCGCCCACAGTTTGTGTGGGTTTTAGAACAGGACGAAGCTCTCACTTCGTTCTCTATCGCTTTCTAATGCTACTGTCTCATCAATGCCTTGTTCGATCGATCGAAGGTGGAGCACTCGATTTCACCCTTTGCAAGCTTCAATTGTATCGCATTTTGTGACCCCAATCGACGATTTGGTGGACACTCGGGAGACATGAGTATGTTCTCGGATTGAAAGTTCGATAGTGCAAGCTCTTGTGAGGAGCTGCTCCTCGAAGCACCTGTAGAGGTAACTCTTCGAGAGAGATTGTGAGGACTTCTTTCATTGGATTGGCTCTGCGAAGGAATTGAAAATAGTACCTGTTGGAGGAGATGATGAATTTCTGATTTTCTCTTTAAGAGATCCTATGCTTCGATTGGATCTAGTTAGGTTTGGAAGATTGCTAGGGCTCCTCTTCAGTCTGGAAGTATTAGGCACAGCGGGAGGTTATATTTGTAGCTGGAAATCCATTTGGATCTGGTTCGCTAGAGGATCGTTGAGTGAGTGTCGAGTCATTTGTTGGAGTACAGAGGAGAGACCTAAGGCTGCAGTGCAGTTGTTAAAGAAATTCGAGCACTGAGGTTTTTGAAACTTTGATTGTGCCGAAGCATCCAGAGTTCTTGAGAAGATTCTCACTGATTAACATTGATTCGTGTCTGTATGGCAGGAAGTTATTGGTTACTTTCCTGTTATTTTCTTAGCAGAATTTTTCCTCGTTTCCCCTCTGTTTGCACTTAAAATACTGTTTCTTTTCCTACTAGTGCGTGAATTGGACTAATTTCAAAGGTGCAGACGAACCACCTGCAGCATGTGTAGTATACATAGTGATTTTACCTGCCAAAAGCGTAAAAGGTGTAGATTGGAGTTGTTGCAATTAGTTTTCTCATAGAGATAACGTCAAATTGATTGTGGCCATAAAGAGTCTAGTGCACCAAATGAAGAGGTATACAAAAATTTGGGGATGCTAATTGTTTTTGGAATATTCAAAGTATTCGAAAGTAGAACATGGAACAAAGTGAGTAGACACTAAAGTTTGTAGCCCTGATGTTGAGTACAAGTTAAACGTGCTCATGAAAAGCTTGTGTGACTATTGACGGAACACGAATTGATTTCAGTGCACATCCTTATGATATCCTCTTGAATAATTCTGCTCTGGGCTGCCCTTTTGGTTCTCATTTTATGAGGATTAATCGAAGGTTGGTTAGATCCCAGGGAATCAGGATTCTACATTTAAATGACGAGTTGGTAATTGTGGGGCAGCTGAATCGATGTTGAAGGAGATTTTGGAGTTGTATACGCTTTTCTTGATCCAGTTGCAACTCTTGTGATCGTGAGTGTTATCTTTTTCGTTTCCTTTAATTATGAGTATCAGATTAGAGCTTGCCGTTGACGTTTCTGAAGATGTTTGATCTCATAGTGAATCTTGGACGGAGCCAAACTTGTTGAAAATTATGCTCACAACGTAGTAGTGAACAATATGAATAGTTGTAAGCTAGAAGAAATTGCAAGAAGATGCTTTCTCCAGTTAGAATTAGGGCATGCCTTGTTGTGTTGGAATTAGGGACATGCTGGGAAATAGGGGAGCTCGCTGCGATTCAGAGCGTCTTTGTGCAAGTTGCAGGGGTTTGTCACTGGTAATCGGATGGTCCAAGTAGCTTATTCTAGTAGTTCGCGTGCTGCGATTTTGATTTTTGTGGGTTCTTGGTGATCTTTGGTGGTTTGATTTAGGGATATTGTGACTACCTAATGGTGGGTTTCAAGATGGCAGAGGATATTGAGAAACTAGGTCACGCTGCCTTTGATAACGGGGACTTTGAACAGGCTTTGAATCTTTGCGTCGACCCTGAAAATGTGACGATGTCAACTGGAAAAGTCGCTGCTCATACCAACCTTGAGAACTTCACTGGTAATTTGTAAATTTTGGTGTCACGTTGAGTTGGGAAGGTACGAAAGAAGAGATAGATTTCTTAGAAAATAGGTCTATTAGTGCATACCTTGATCGGTACGATATGGATGCATGGAATTTGAGCGGGGGTGCAAACTCATATAAGATGTCTATGCTTTCTTCTTTTTCTGCTTCTAATTCATGTTATGGGCATTTCGGTTCTCAAGTCAAGGTAGAGAGGATTATAATACTAACAATTTGAGGGATTAATGATCAGGCGCTGTCAACGGCAGTGAAGAGGGAAGAGGAAATACCGATTCGCTGCTTTGTCAGTCATTATTGAACCTCTATGATGTGGCCGATAATGTTTTTAACAACATCCTTTCCCGGGTACTACGTTAATCCTTATTTTTACATTTTTGTTTGTATGATTGAAGACGTTTGTCACCTGAGCAGTGACGCCTTTTGACAGGTTATGCAGCAGTGTATACATAAATTGGATTCTGCTGTCCATCGTAGCTTTTCTTCATGGCCTTTTCTCCTACAATTTTCATGTTTTCTGTAGGTGAAAATGGAGCAGGAAAAACTGAACAATCTAACTGCAAGAATATCTGACAGAGAGGTAATTAGCGCTGCGCATCTCCCATAAAAACTTGATTCTGCCACAGATTTTTGTGGAGGCCAATAGCAACTCCGTGATATCCCTTAGGTTTGTTCTGCATGATTTACAGTTATAACTACATACCATGTGTACAGAGCTGGTTTAGCTGTCCTTCTAACAGGTAACTGATAAAGACTTGTTACAATTATTACGATTCTTAATTACGATTTCTCCCGAACAGAACTTGTGAAAAGGTTTTGGGTTATTTGGGTTCTTTGTATTGCTTATCATTATCATAAGTGCTCCAACAGCTCTTTTCAAATTTTTCAATCATCCAATTCGTCTACTTCGTGGCAGGCTCAAATAGCTGCATTTGCTGGAACGAAAGAGGCAATAACTTTGTTCTCAAGTGCAAAGTATCTTCAAGTTCCAACTGACCAAACAGATTTTGTACCAGTATTTGGTGGCAAACAATCAGAGCTTCCCATTGCAACCATATCATTGGCTGCATGTCAACATCAGGTGTGATTCCTTATGACCTTCTATGGTTGATTGTTGAAGAAATTTAAACAACATCAAGAGTTACTAATTTGATTTTGGAAAATCATTTGGCTGTCAGGATGGGGAAGGGGGTACTCTCGAGCTCTTTCGTTTTTTCTCGGAGACAAATCACGAGTACTGGTCTAGACAGACACAAAGCGCTGTATGTAATTCACTCCCGACTTCTCAGTAAATTGACATGCCTGTTGACATATATTGCTCTTTCCCTTAATAAATTCCTTCCTAGACATTTGATCATTTGTACGTTTGCGAATGAGAAATAGTCCATCTAGTGATCAAGGCGTCTTACGCACCCATTCTGTCTGATGATTTTGTCCAGGATGGACTTGGCAGGGTGCCAAAGGACATAAAATCTGTTGCAGATTGTATGCTTTTTAATTCATTGGAGCTCCCATATCATCTGTAAGTGTTCTATAAAATATAATTTCCTACGTGAATTTTTTTGAGCAAAATAGTTTTAAGAGTTATAACATCCACGTCAACGTTTTTCTTGTCTGAATTTCAGATTGCATTTTCGAATTTAGTAACCATCTAGCCATTTCTTTTTCTCGGCACAATATGCATCACGCTAACCAACAGTCCTCGCTTCTGGCTTTGCAGGTATAGGGTCGTGGATAACCTAACGGGAGCCGATATTGTGGTAGGAGAAGAAGAGCCCAAGCATAAGCCTCCTCCACTTGCTGCGCCACCTCAAAGTGTTCTAGCTGGCGATACATTGGTGAGTAGGTAGAACATTATTTGTGTAACTTGGAATATTTGATTCTTGTTTAAGTAAAATCGCACGTCTGATCCAGTTGACCTGCATTTCTTAAAATTTGCATTAGTTGTATGTTTCTGTAATGAAATCGCTATTATTTAAAGTGAAAATTTTCAATATGAGGCTTTACAGTGTTAGCGTAGCTCGGATCAATGTTCTGATTAGTGTCATATATTTGTAATCTGTCTGGTTCAGAGCTCATCAGGAGTTCAAGAATACGGGTTTAGGCCAATGCTTGGTGAAGTTCCATCCTTCAGTTTGCCCAGTACTCTTCCAAACCTGCCTATGGTTGCTGACATAAGCTGGAGTGGTAAGTTTGTTTCTTCCAGTTTTCTCATTTCCATCTTCTCCTTCATAATACTCCAATGATCACGGCACTGTCTACTCTAACACTCAGTTTGCCCAGTACTCCAGTGATCAGACACATAACTCTAGCTATTGGGCAGACAGTGTTAGAGTAGACAGTGTCTGCCCAATAGCTAGAGTTATGTGTCTGATTTAAGAGCAGGTGTCTTTAATCATGCACTTGAATGATGTGATGTGTGCATACTACAAACCTTGACTTCTTAGATAATTTGAAAAATTACCTGGCGGAGTTATTAACTTACTAAACAAGGTTTTTAAGAGTTGTGTTTTTGTTGAAATCTTTTGTCTTGCAACAGGATCTTCACGTCAGTTTCAATCCATTCCTTTGATTTCTCCATCCGTTGGACATTACAGAAACGCCTCTTTTGGTGACAGTTCTGTCGAGGGTACTCCAACTAAGAGTGATACGAAGTCACTAGATAGTGAGTTTTCAGACAATCTAACCACTCCATTGACCACCAATTTATGCACTTTACAATAATTTCTTGGGTCATTTCGGTTTTTATTGCATGCTAGCTGCCTTTAGTTGTAAGTTCTCAAGCTCTCAAACTTACTGTTTTTTGTGTAAATGATATTCTATAATCGCTCCAGGATTGAATGGGTAGTCTCATACGTGAAGGACGTCTGCTGCAAATGTAGACTTGAGTAGATCTATACTAATTAATATAGGGATCAGGAAGTTCATTCTATTCCGTTTGTTCAATATTACAGGTTCAACACGTGGCTTTGAGGATGTTATGGCTGCTGCTTCCTCTAGGTTGAGTCTACCTCAACATCCCTCTCCACTCTTGACTGAGAGTGGTACCTTCCCTGCTGGTAAGCTTCCAAGTCCTTCACTGTTTATTTTAGAAAACGTTTGTTTACATAATTTCTGAAGATAGTTATTTGAATATTAAGACTGGTAACCTGGAACTGAAAGTATTTATGGATCAGCTGGTTACAAGCCATTTGAAAAGAAGACAGTTACGTAAGTTGCAAAAACTTCAATGCAGGAATGTGTTGGTAAAATCCCATCACTAAACAAAAGTTTTGTGACTGGATCTGATTAGGTTTGTGAATATTCCACACACATGCATGTTCTCTGCCTCTTTGCTCTAACTATGTTGGGTGATGCATATATCCATCAAAATCTATTTTTGCCAAATTTTGCTTGGTCGTAACCTGTTAATTGTTATCATGGCAGATGTTCGATCAATGCACTTACCGAAGTTGCAAGCGTCTCAGACCTCTGATTTCCGGCTGCCAACAATTGTGACAAAAACCAAGAGCGCACAAGATGTTCCACGTTCGGTTTCTCAAACAATCCCAGCAGTACCTTCGCCTCCTCCCCCTCGTCCTCCTCCCCCCCCTCCCCCTCCCCCTCCACCACTACCACCGCTGCGATCACCAACACAGCCAGCTCAAATTAAAACATCTACTACTTCGAGCTCTGAGAGGCCTGACTCCAGCACGCAACTTGAAGCGGTGGGCCCCCGAATCCTTCCGTTGCCAATAGGTGTGTTTTCTTACTTGGCTGACCTCCTACTGCAAGTCTCTTGGCATCACATAAACGGTAGTCATTGTCTATTTGTGTTCTGAAAATCGATTCATCCACTCTGGACGGTTGTCTTCAAACGTACAAATAAGGAGTTTCTTCCAAAAACAGATTATGTACCCGTCGTAATTAAATTATGCAGTTATTTTCTACTGAGCACTGTAGAGCACTGGACCTGCAGTATGTCTTATGTTGCTTGCTGGTTGATGACAACAACAGATGCAAGCCGTGCAGCTTTGCTGGCATCTATTCGTAATCCTAGTATTCAGCTTCGCAAGGTATGTTCGTTTCTATATAGCTTGGTCTTCCCCCGTCAGTGTTCCTCTCTTCCTATCTTAATGCAACTTATGTACATCTTATCCTGGCTTGTGTTCAGACAATCATGTTATTTTCAACACAAGTAACATGCAAATCAGGAGGAGCTGTTTTTGCTGTTGTTGGCGTCCTTAACTGTTGTGGTTGTCGAGCAAGAGAATAATAGTATCTTTATTATTGATCAGTCTTGTGTCGTAAATGCCTATAATCCTTATGCATTTTTACTGGTTTTTGCAGACAAATGTTGGAGACAAGCCAACTACATCTACAGATAAGTCTCAGTCTTCAAGTGGAAAACAAGTTGATTCCAACCGTCCAAAGGTCCACTTCAATGCCACTTTGCTGTTATGAAAGCCTTCAATGTATACCCTATTAAATGAATTCTTCCATCCCAAGCGTTTGTGTGATTTTGCAGGATATTATTTTATCCATCATTTGAGGGGATGTTTGTTGATTGAGTCTGCTTAGAAATTCTTCGAAGATCTTTAACTCCCATTAGTAATCAGATATTTGCAATGCATACCACCTTTTGTATTTATCCTGTAAAGTAATCCTTCCAGCACAATATGACCGTGATGGCAGACTGTGAATGTTCTCACTGAGATGGCGAACACCCTTAAATTGCGAAGGTTATCTATGCAAGGTGCTGCTCACGATAAGAGCCAGGTACTTACGTATTGAGAACCAACTTGTTTTCTCCTGAAACCAGCTATAACACTTATTTGCTATGTGGAGTTTGCAGAAACTTTCAGACTGAACTTGTGTGTTTCGTACACTCTCGCTGTGTTGTATTGTGCAGGCGAAACCAAGTAAAATACTTGGAAATGAAGATACAGACGCTGGTAGCGTCTCAAGTGGATCTAACAGGTTTGCACATTTGCATGTTCCTACAGATTTCAGTTTGTTGTTCTACTCGCTTTTGGATTGTGGATGATCGTTTGCTGTTTTTCAAGTAGAAAAGTATTATTTTGTAAGTGGGTCATGATTACTATTCATGTTCCAAGTTGCGTCTGTAGAAACCAGGCTTAGTTTTACATTTCAGTAATAAATATTGTAGAAGATTCTCTGGTACGTGTAAGAAAGTTACATACCTGCTAACATTTATGAATTAATTGTTTGATTGGTACTCGACCTTCAATGACCTTTCTTCTTGGCCGCTTCAAACAGTACCGGTATTACACTACCGGTGAGCTTGTTGCCGAATTTGCGCGCTCTTTTGCACTGATTTTTTATCTCTTTTGTGGGTAGCAGAAGATCTTTCTGTACTAGTTTGCAATTTTAAACATAAACAGTCTAAACTATGGAACTTTTTATGAAATGATGAACTTTAACATGCTTATATATTGCATCGTAGCTGGCACTGTACTTACGTTAGTATGGCTAGTATGCGTGATAAAGGTTTGGGATTAGCTCGTATTTCAGTTTGTCACTCTTGGGATACGCTTTCTGTAGCTTTTGTGATGTGTTCAGGACATCATTTATATAGCACGGCAGCTAAAGATCAAAATATCAGAAATCAAAAATCAAAACAACCGAATAGACAAAGTTTTTTACAAGTGTATTACACAATCCAACTATATGATCGCCAACTCGTATTTGGATTTTTCTTATTTGCAGATAAAGAATCTCCATGATTACATTGCCTCAAGAAACCAAGAGGTGAGCGATGATGACGATTGGGAAGAATGAAGCTTTTCTTGGAGATCGATCTGCAATTGTGTAAATATCACCCTTCGAAGACCTCTGAATATTTAACCGAACAAGCTTACGTAGTTGAAGTAGGAGATTTATGAAAGCATGGTCTGGGACTATTAGATATGCCCCTGCAGTTTTGCTTTTTCACCTTGGAATTCCATCCTTTTAAAGGTATGTACTGAGCTCTAGGTCTCCACTCCCGTTACTCCTTTTTCGTCTTTGTGAGTAATGCACTCGAATTACATCGCACATTTGCGAATTCAACTGTCTAGAAGGCCTCTGTTACGTTGCACCTTTTCATGAAGTGCTTCTTTTCTCAAGAAGTTGCAGGTAACACATTAATTCCAGACTCGAACAGCGTGGTATGGTGGACCTTACGGCGTTGCTTGTTGTTGATTATCTGGTAGTGCAGTATAACTCTTGATTAGATAGTGCAAGCCGTTGGAAAGTCGTTTCCTCTTGTACCTTCGGAAAGTGCTTTTTGTAGATACGTTCATCGTCGATGTTACGTATCTTCTAATGATTCAGTCTTCACCTATTGGCGCACCAATTGGACAAGGGCTTTTGGTCCCGCGGCATGGTTCTGAAGATGATTGGGATTACTTTCTTCCGAGAATAGAAAACTTGTCAGAATACCAATGCACTTTGTAAAGGAGCTGTACTATTATAGAAGCACTTGGAGAAGTGCGACAGGGGCTAGCACATACCTGTACATACAACCACGCGTGAGTTCATTCCTCCAAACCATGCTCATGTCCAGGCACACTCAAAACGGTTGGGTGAATCGATTAACTTCGAAGACACTTTCTTAACCTTGGCTTAGTACAAATAATATTGAAATGATTCTTACTCAGGGTGCGTTCAATTGAATGATTTGAATTCATGCTGTTGACAAGGAAAGGCCAAAACCTTTTCAGAATATTTGTACCAGAAGGAGAACAGAGACTTTCTGGACTCAGAAATTAGGCCTCTTTTAATCATTGAACAAAGGTCTTAGATTAATCAAACTGTCCAATAGAAAGGGATGAAAACTTAATATTTTTAGGAGCGTTGTAGACAAGGAAGAAGCATCTTCAGTAAGATCGTTCTATATCCTTGCTCACCGTCCTTTATAATTATGGGTGATTATTTTAATACTTTAAGCGCATGAAAGCTGATTTTTAAATGATGATTTCTTGTAAACCAAATAGTTTGATTCAATGTTTTTAGAATTTGTGTTGTATTTGGAACGTAATAGAGATTACCAAAAGGGTTTTACTTAATACATGATAAGTTAATTAAATGTAAATCGAAGATAATTTCACCAATCGCACAATGATACAGGAATTGGTATTCTGACAAGTTTTGTATTCTCAGAAAGCATAAAATGGTGTCCTCAAAGCAAAAAACAGAGAAAAAGTTTTCATAGCAAAATTTTACTTCATAGTCACTAGGAATTCCAACAACACCTACACCTTGCCACGAACTATCTCCACGTCAGTCAGGACAGAAATAGAAAATGATAATAACAATAACAACTTTAATTACACGTTTATATGTATGTGTATGTTTGCTTGCACAACCCAAGATGTGCTCAAGTAATGCATTAACTAATGAATTATACGTAGGAATAGACATAATTACATTTGGGTGCACTGAAGAACAACTACTGAATGTAGTATGATTTGGTGAATGTAATATTATTGGGGTTTGAGGATGGGGTTGATTTTCTTCCAGAGAATGAGACAGAAATGGACAATTCCGTGTAGCACATGGATTGATGTGAAAAGTTTCATGGCTTGCGTTGATTGCAATGGAAGTGGTGGTCCACCAGTGGGTTTGGGTACCAATCTTGCAGGAAACCTAACAACGTTGGAGGAATTCACAAGCAATTCAATTTTGTGATTCACTTTTCGGGGAAAAGACTTTCACCAACTTGTGATCCGATGCAATTGTCTGCCTGCTTGCTTGGTTTCTTTTGTCGTTTTGATGTTGTTTTCTTTTCTTTTTGGGGGGTAGGGTAGTTGAATGTGAATCAGTTGGAATGCAGGTGCCGGGATCAGCAAATCTATTGTTGGTACCGCCTTCAATTCACCACCAAGAGCCGAGCGAGAGGGAGAAGGGAGACCCACAAAGGCAAGTGCATGGAAAGCGTAATGGACACAAGGTAGGGGCACAGGAGTAGGGGAAGGTTAAGAAAGTAGGGCAGGCGTAGGGGGTGTTGAGAAAGTAGTAGTAGTAGTCGTCGTGGTAATGTAGGCCATGTGGTGCTGCCGCAATGAAAGGGACGAGGGGACGAGCCCAAGCCATGCCCACCGCGACCACGGCGATGGCAATGATGGTTGATCCGATGATCGGATGACGGGGATGTGCCGATGCTGTCGATGTTGCCCCGACGTCCAGCAACGATGCCAACGTGCACTTCGTTGGACCCCGCATCACTTCAACCAAACTCCAACACTCACCACTCCACACTCGTTTTCTCTACCCTTCCCTTGCTCGTCACGCCGCTCCTCCAGGCGGACCTGAACGACTTCTGGTTGTTGCATCCTTTCCGTGATGGCCATGCTCTGGCTTCTTCGCGGTGTTTCTCTTTGACTTTATGGCATTGGTAGACGGTCGGTGACGCTACGATGCGGTGGGGTAGCGGAGGTAGAGGTTGTTTTTTCGAGGCAGATGGTACTTGTCGCGGGGAGTGGCGGAGGCGTGTTGGGGGATTTGGATGAAATGACAATGCAGTGTGTAGGGTGATGTCCGGATGACCGGGGCAGTCGGGGATATGGCACCAGAGGTAGTACAGGATTAATTGGCGGAGCAAGCGAGAGAGAGAGAAAGAAGGGCAGCGTGGAGGTGATACAGGGCAGGATTATGGAGTGGAGGAGCTTGCGGTGGATCGAGAAGGGGTTGCCTGTGGTGGATCAGGTGGTGTGGTTATTGCGGGAGCATCGTTTTGTCATGCACGTTGAACCTGGCTGGGTCTGTGGTCAGGGTTTTGCGAAGGTCGAACAGTAGGGAAGCGGCCGGAGGGAAGGTGGACAGCGAGCGGAAGCGGTGGAGTGGACGTGCTGAAGTTGCAATCTACTATGAGCGGTGGGGTTTGTGGTGTTGAAGTGTAGGGTTGAAGGGGCGGAGTCATGCCGATGATGGAGGTCGGTGCGTGTCAGTTTGTATGGTCGCCATCGTCGGATGGCGATTACAGCAGTGATGACGATGACTCGAATTCTGGGGTTTCTAGTGGCAGAGATCGTAGGCTTTTATATCCGATGCCCCAGTCGCATTGGTTTCCACGATCGTTTTCGTTTGGGCCATATGTGGCACCGGGAGTTTCGAGGCATCGTAGTGGGGCCAGTGCACCGGCTAGAGCGTCGTCAAGGCAGCATGCTGGAGCCAGTGCACCGCGATTGCACATCCAGGTCACCCGTTCGGTACATCTCCGCTCCTGAGTTGCAGATGGGTTTGCATGCCTTGTAGGGCGACGGTGTCCGGAGCCGTATATGGTGTGTGGGGGCTTGTCTTGGTAGTTTTGGAATTGCACAACAGCGTACAAGTCATATGTTTTGTAATCGGAGCGATTGGGATTTCTTAGTTAAGTAGTCTACTGTCGTTGACGCTCGCTGGCCCTAGCAATGCATGGCTTCAGTTCCTATGAGCAGGTGTTTGGGCTCCTGAAGACAAGCTCGGGTGTAATGACAAGACGACTGTACACACATGAGGGTTAGGGCAGCAAGACTGTGAGGACGCTGTCACTATCGTGGGTGTTTTCGCGCCACAATATTTCGGCTGATTAATTTGACGAAGGGTTCCATGTTGATGACGCAGTTGGCATACAAACTTACGAAGGATATAGTGGGGACGTATCAAAACTGCAACCTCGAGTTTGCATTTTCACCGGATCTGAATCCGAAACGATACCTCACTGCTCCATCGACAATTGTTTCTGAGAATGGGCTGGACAATGAGAGGCATGACCTTGTGCTGTATTTCAATCAGGTCCTGGTGAATGACGATGGCACTCGCAGGTGGGTAATTTGTACACTTGCGATGAAGCTGATTGTAGTTTTTATTTATTTTATTTATTTCATTGTGTTTAATCCTGCTCGAGGGCATAATTTGGATGATTGTTTTCATTACGGTAGTTTTTGGATGGAGGTTGGGGCGCATAGGCGTTCGAATTTTTGAGCAGAGCACGAGGTATTTGGGAGCTTGGTGCATGCAGAAAGTGTGCAAATTGATGTGAGTGAGGTTTTGAACGCGTGAGGGTGGGATGTGGGTGTGGGTGTGCGTCCGCGGGCGCAGATATGTTGTGAAAGATCTTGTGGGTTCAGGTACGTTCGGACAGGTAGCAAAATGTTACACGGAGGAGACGAATGAGTATGTTGCAGTGAAGGTGATAAAGAATCTGCCAGCTTACTGCACCCAAGCGCGGTTCGAGATCGGAATTTTGCACATGGTATGGCTTGACCTTGCACACGGATACTCCTCCCGCCTTTTTCTGACTGTAATTGCGGGTGTATGCGAACTTCTTACAGGCAGATTTTCAGAAGTTGCTGGATATTCAGATGAGATGGGCAGTTGTGAGTCCGTGGTGTAGGACTTTCGTGACTCTCGGTTTATAAGAAGAAACTTTTGAGAGTACCCAAGCTTTCTGGGATTTGGACAGGAGGAAGGTGTAGATTCGTGTAGATGCATGCCTGAATGAAAAAGGGTTGCTTTAACCTGCGGTTGTTGACTGTGATTGACAGCTAAACAGGGAATATGATCCAAATGACCAGTACCATATCGTTAGAAGCCTAGATCACTTCCAGCACCATGGACATCTCTGCATCGTGTTTGAGCTACTTACGGAGAACTTGTGAGTGCATCCTTCGAACTGTAGGGACCAGTTTTATTGGTTTTAGGCGGCAAATAGAAATGTGAGGCGGAAGGTTGTGTAGCGCATAGAGGTTTTGGGTATAGTCCAAGTGTGCATGAGAGTAGTGGAGAAGCTTATGACAACTTTTGAACGCGTGAGCTGAGGTGATACGTTGTGCAGTTTCACTTGCAGGTTTTGCGAAGGGCGTGACATTCTTGGTTGGTTTGATGGTGGTTTCAGTTAGGATGCGTACAGTGGGTTCTTATTGATGGGTTTTGGCTCTGCAGGTACGAGCTGTTGAAGAAGACGAGTTTGAAGGGCATGTCGCTTGTATTGGTTAGGATGTTTACCAAACAGGTATGGATCTTGGTGGAACCGCGACATGTTGCTAGTTCAGAAATGCAGATGTGCGATGTGTGTTACTGTGTGCTTTTTCTCTGGTTAAGACGTTTTGTGGTTTTGTAAGGTGGAAACTTGAGTTTCGTGTGTTGGGTTTGCGAAATGGGTCGTTTACAGCCGCCTGTCTTGGAATGTGTCCTTGAAGAAATGCTATCCGTGGCCGTCATGGTTGGAGGAAGTTGTACTATCCCAGTTGTTTCAGATTGCAGGTTTATGTGGACTGCATGTGAAAGAGTTGGATACGCTGATGAGTCTGGATGTGGGTGTGTACAGTTACTGAAATCTCTGACTCTGCTGCGGGAAGCTAGAGTGATACATTGTGATTTGAAGCCGGAGAACATTCTTCTTATCGAGAGGTGATTATTATGTACTTGTCGGTTGTGCCCACTAGTGTGCATGGTCTACGTGAACGGAGATTTGGGAGTGTCGTATCCAGTGTCGGCGTCTTCGAATGCAAGTGGCGATTTTTGCATTTGACCATGCAGTTGTGGTTGAATCTTTTCGATTTCTTAGCTAGGGTTGCTTTCGTAATCTTTGCTGGACTGATTATGGTCGTGTAGGGGAGGTGATGTGCATTGTTGGAAGTTTTATCTTGTTGCAGGGTTGTTGAAGAATTCGACTGACGTGTTTAGACGTGCCAGGCTAATCCATTTTTATGGCTGGATTTTGTTTGCCTTAGTTTTCGGTCAGCGGAGTTGAAGCTTATTGATTTCGGGTCTGCGTGTAAGGAAGACCATACGGTGTACACGTATATTCAGGTAGAGTGGTGGTTCGCATCCTAGGATTTGCTGTCCATAAAAGATGTTGAAGCTGATAGGTGGAAGGTTAGTAATGTGATGTTGGAGTAACGTGGTGTAGTGCCGCTTTATGTATATGAGAGAGCCGACGTGCGCAGAGTTGAATGCAATGTACGCTGAAGTGGATGTTCTTGCTAACTTGGATTGTACTTTGAATGAGTGCAGAGTCGGTTTTACAGGTCACCCGAGGTATTGCTTGGTCACCGGTATACGACCGCTATTGATATGTGGTCGTTAGGGTGTGTGGCAGCCGAGCTTTTCCTAGGGCTGCCATTGTTCCCTGGAGCTTGCGACTTCGACATGCTGCTGTTTATGAAGGAGAAACTTGAGTATGTTCTATTTTTGTGACGATGTAATGATCACGGGCTTGGTCAATAGTGATTCGCGTGGTTGCAACTGAGCGTCGATGAATTGGTAGCGAAGATTGTTGCGTTGCTGTCAGATGGCGTGTTAGTTCATGTTCTACCGTCGGTTATTTGCACTGATGCATGATGAGCGTACTTTGGTGGATAACCAACCGTGAGTTGGTATTGCCATCCGACACTTATGCATGGTGTGGATGGTGTTGGTTCAGGAGTCAACCTAGTGATCATATCTTGAGGAATGCGAATTTCACAAACAGGTTCTTCAAGCTTCTGACTGCTGCTCCTCATGCTGATCACAACCGCAGCGCTTATCAGCTGCTGACAGTGGAGGAATATGAAGTGGTATGTTCTCCGATGATTGACAACATTGAATTTGGTGACTGAACAACGGCTTTTCGATCATGTAATATTCGGCTGATTTACAGACTAGTGTGTTGATATGGCTTTTTGGAGTGTAGCACGTTACACTACATTACAGACGACGATCCCTGAGGTTCTGTTGCGAATAGATGTTATTGTAGCTTTCACGTTGGTATCAGAAGTATTATTATGGACAGAACAACGTATAGCCTGAACATGATGAAGATTTCACGACGTGCCGTGAGCCGAGGTGTCGTGATGTGGCGGTGTATACTGTGGGCTCTTGAATAGAGCATGAGGTAGTGTTAGACAGTATGCAAGTAATGGAAAGAGTTTAGGGCTGACAGCACGGCTTGAATAGTAGGGACTGACGCAGCTTCTTGAGGATACGATTTTGGCTCTTGATACGTTGGGTTGCCGTGCAAGTTATGGTTGGTAGAATGATTTGACGTGAGTGGGTCGTGCAGCGACATAGGAGAACACCGGAGATTGGGAGGAGGTACTTTCATGGCACACTTGCTGAAGTGATAATGGGGTATCACATGAAGCCCATGTCAGCGGCCGAGCAGAAAAGAGGTGGTGCACCATTTGCTAACTGATGACTTTGAGTTGCAGCGTGGTGTTAGAGGAGCTGTTGAGCGGTTGTTTTTCGTTGATGTACATATGTTTTGGAAGTTGGTAGGGGGTGCACCTTTGTTCTTTGTGTACAAAGGAGTTGCTCACATAATAGTATTTATCATGCTTGTCGTGTGTGTCACACGGGTTAACGCACGGTGTGAAGTTGTTTTCCGTGATCTCATTGAGGAACTAGATTTTTGTTGGTAATCATGCAGAGATGCTGGCTCGAGAGAGCTTTGTGGACTTTCTGAAGGGCTTGATCGAATGTGACCCAAGGAGGAGATGGTCACCTCAGCAGGTAATGGGATTTGGCGGTTTTATGAGTTATTTAGAAGAGATTGGTTCCACATTGATGAGAATATTATGATGATGGAATGATAGTATTGCTGTTTATTTGGAATCTTAAACCTGGTGTGATTTTATGAGGTAGCCTGAGTATGTCGGTGGTTCACTGTGGGTTGGTGATCCTCGTGTGCAGGCCGCACAACATCCATTTATAACAGACGAGCCGTTCACTGGACCTTACGTTCCTGTTCCAGAGACTCCACGGACGGTAATTTCTGCGGCTAACTTACTGGCGTGGGATGAGGTTATTTGTGGCTTATCTATGCATGTGATGGCGTGGTACGGTGGAGTTAGCAAAGTTGCATGAAAATGAGTTATGGAGGTTGCCAATGTGCGTGGTGATTTGCGCAGCCTGTGAATCGCAGTCTTCTTATAGACCACAGAGGCGCGGCGGGGCACTGGGTCGGTGCAGGCCTCTCTCCCCAAGTAAGTTGGCGTTGCATATGATTTTCCTATGATCTCACAAGAGGTTGAGGGACACTGGAGGCTGCTGCGTTTGAAGTTTATCTGTTTAGTGTTGGATGAATATCAATTGATCAGTTTGAAATAGACGTGGCTTGAATGTGAGTAAAAGGAAATTGGTGTGTAAATTCAGCTATTTGTGGTATGTAAAGTGTGTTGGAAGGCTTGACTTGAATGACACGGTTCTTGGAGCGTGCAATAATCATGAGAGATGATAACCTGGGCGTGAAAATCAGGTGGGAGGATTGAATTCAGGTCCTCGGTATGGTGTGAGTCCTCAGCAGCACACGAGTCAGTTTTCAAGAGCGAGTAGCTATGGCAGTGTGGGCAGTTTTGGGAGCTATGGAGAAGGTGTGACGATGGACGGTAACTTTGAGAGTTACATGGACGAATCGGGTGCACGTGTGATGGGTATGAATTCTCAAGCATCAGCGGTGGGTAGCTCTCCGGAAGCAAGTTGGCAAGGGAGACCCTTAGTACCATCTATACATCCGCAACATCCAGTTCTTCGGTCACTGAATCTGGGAGCTAGCCCATCGTTCAATCTCGGGGCGAGTCCATCTGGGTTTGGGCACCCATTTCTATATCAGCAGTCTCCTGGTCCTTACGGTGCGTCGCCAGGATCGTTTCCTTCGTCACCGGCATCCAGTTTCTTCCAGTCTAATGGATCTCAATCGCAAGTGGGTTCTCCAAATCGGTATGGACCAGCATCGCCTGCGCGGCAATTGTTGGAAACAGCAGTGGTTAATGCGAACGCTGCGCAAGGGCATTTTCATTGGAGGCGACCTTGGCAAGCTCCTCCTGGTTCCGGTGGGCATGGTCAACAGCAGCAGGTCCAGCAGCAAGAGTTGGCGCATTGGTCGAGGCTTCAGCACGGCAGTGGAAACGCGAACGCGGATGCAACGTCGAACCTGAGTTTCGAGGGTCAAGGTGGGATACGGAGAGGTGGTCCTCCTGCACCTCACTCTCGAGGTGCTCGAAATAGCAGCAGTTCGGGAACTGCACAGTTGCAACGAGGGGCATCTGGTTTTGGTCCAGGTACGCTGGGTGCGTATCTATCACCAAGAAGTTCTATGGACAGTGGAGAGGATGATTCTGCAGTAAGCATTCACTGGGATCCCGATTTCAGGTGAGACATGGTGAAGATTGTATGTTTCTTTTGCAAGTTTATGTGCCCGGGAAGTGGATGTAGGAGCTGTTCGTAGGTCCTCACCTGATGCTTTCTTTAATCATGAGATATTAGGTTGTCCGTGGGATGAGATAGGGATTGATTGTAGGGTTGCTTTACGTGAGGGACATAAGTGGTGATGTGGAGTTTTGTGGTGAGATAATTGCGAGGATTTCAACGGTTGGTTGGGGATTTAATGCGTTTGTTTCCTGCTGTGGGAGTTTTGGTTGTTTTAGAAGATGTGATTGGATTTTTCTGGTTTTGACATAGTGGAATTGGAGGTAAAACAGACGAGTGAGAAAATTTCGTAAGATCACATGTTCCACTTGCAGTGGGTTCTGTGGTGGTGGAGATGATGTGTAGGTCAGTAAGCCGGCATACATGCGGGCCGGTAGCAGACTGGCACTGCAGTTGTTTGTTTAGCGTGTTTTGGGTGGTTTGACTGGCTCTGAGGAGGTACTGAGATTTATAATTCGGGTGCAGTGATGAATTTCTTCATGAGGATGCCCACGAAACTGGAATAAGAAGGGGTCCTAGTAGGTCCGGTGGAGTTGTGGGTGACGGCGTCTTCGATGGGACCACATCGAGGAGGTACGTGCTTGATTCTAACTCAGTTTCTGTCACTTACATGGCTTTTAGCGAAAGCGTGTTGAGTCCATTCGGGCCTTTTCATGCCGAGGTAGATAACTGGTTCGATGAATTGATGCTTTTTGATAACTGTTACATTCAAGGATGTTGCAGTGCTAGAAGGACTCGATCTGTTCTCTGTAACGTGTAGCGCATAGCTCATTCGCTGTGGATTTTGATGCAGTTGTGGTGTGAGCTGTGTTTGCAGGACGTCACAAGGGCGAATGAGTACTTCAAGCATGGATAGCATTGCGTCCTCGAATAGCTCGCAGTCTGGGTACCCACGTCAGAGGCCTGGTCAGTTTTCTCCGAGTCAAACTTCTCCGAGTCGACTTGGCCCCCAGGTCTCCCAAGGTTTCCATCAGCAGCGTCAACAAGGAGGTAACCAGCAGCAGCAGGCGCAACATGCAAGGCAGCAAATATCACCAGAGCAAACCCCTATGCACCCTGTTCATCAGGTTTCCAGGAGGCAGGTGTCCGGGGATGCGGGTGGTACAATTGCCGGACCAGCATTGTTTCAACAGCATCAACATTCCCTCCTGTTTCAACAGCAGCAGCTGCAGAACGCTAATCACCAACAGCATTATGGGGTGGTTCACGGTGGTGTCGCTGTATCGAGAGTGAATGTCAGTCAAGGTGACCCGAATGCGAATGCCCCTGCTGCAACAGGGATTGCGATGGCTGCAGGCATAGGTCACGAAGGTGTAGGTTATGCGATGCACGGTGTCCCACATCAGCGTTATTATGGTGGAGAAGAGCTGCAACATCAGTGGTCGATTCCTCAGAATCAATACTTTCCGAACGAGCTTCACCAAGGTTTGTTTTTATTCCTTGGGTGTTGGGGTCGAGAGGTTTGTGTTGGGAGGTGTGTCTTGCATTACATGCGATTTTCATCCGTAGTTGCCCCTGTTTATTTTGTTACCGAAGTTTTTCGTTGGTTGATGGTTGTGGCGGTTTCGCAGCCCTTGGGACTGAAGGGAGTTGGGTGATGTTCAGGACCAAGGCCCCCGATGCCAGGTCGACGTTGAATGAGGGCTGTGATGTGGCACATGGGTTGAGTCATTTGAGCAGGCATGGAATGTGGCGACATGCGGAGGCCTTGTTGGTTTGAGCAGAAGTATGCGAGAGTCCAAAAATGGATACTGAGGGGCTTGTGCTAGTATGGCCTTACTTTGAGGCGTGTTTTAGACTTTATGCAAGCTTCGCAAAATATCAACGTTCAGCTCATTACAGGTATGTTAGCAGCGGTGAGTTGGTGTCCATGATCACTTAGTAATTATGGGTTTGTCAATAGATGGACGTTTGTGCTGCTTAGTTACTGGTCTTGTGTCTGTTATGGTGAGTATTTTTGTTGACATGAAGCATTTGAGTATCGTGGTCTGGGAGATTGATTGGTTTCGGTGCGATATCGCACAGGGTATTTGGCCATTTAATTTTAAAGACCTCATCCAATTTGGGCTGTCCAAGAGTTGGGCAAAGCAGAATGTTGGAGTTGGTGCGCTTCGTTCTGCATCTTCATGATTCCCTTGACACAAAGGTGTCCAGGTTCCCACTTGGTTCTTAAGAATGCCTTGGTTAGGGTGTGCACGTTCTGACAACGGAATGCTGCATGTGGTGGCTGACGCAGTTTATGTGCTGTACAAAAGGAGATCGTGGATTGTGGGAATGGTTTTCGTAGGCAAAGCTGTTTGAAAATTCACCCCAATCGGTCTGAAACAGAAGTCCTGCTGTTGTGGTTACAGATCAGCACAAGAGTTGATTAGTAACGTGGCAGAGCTGTATTTGAATTATGAGTATTATTTATTTATTTTTATCTCGTCAACACCCCACCACAGGCATGACACGATTTTATTATTTATTTTTCAAGGCGTACACTTTTTTGGTTATTTTAAATGTAAGTCTTTTTGTTGAATCAAACAATCTTAAATATAATGACCTGTTTACATTTGAAGGTACAGTCTCAACTGTTAGTTGTGAGGCACTCGTGTACTATGAGATCAAAATGTCTAAATAGAGTTCATTTTACTTCATTTAGCAACAAAACTCATTTGATATACTTTTATGAAGTACACAATGTTCTTCAATCTGAAGTACTTGCTCAAATTATAAAAAAAATTATTGATTTATATGTCGGAGTCATATGTATGAAGTATGTAAATTTTGATTATTAAAAATGTTACATGTTTACACATGTTATAATTTGAGGTTTGAGGACCGTCTTTAGAGCTTGTCTGTGATGGTTTTTATGAGCGCATTTTAACACAATTTTCAAAATACAGAATTGTTTAAAGATGTTGCTTCAAAATTATCCAACAATCATTTGATGAAAGATTATAAAAATATAATAGTTAGTATTACTTAATTTTGCAATGAAACCATCACACACATATACATACATATTTGTCCATTGCTTTGCTTCAAAAATAACATATTATTGTGTCACCAAGGTGTAATTAAGAATAATATAAATTGAATGGAAATACAAATGGATGTATGGATGTTTAAATGAATGAAAATATACATGTCTTTATCAAATGTTGTCTTAATATTTTTTTTCTTTTTTTTTCTAAAGTGTCTTGTAAAATTATATATATACATATATAGGGAAATGATAAAGTAATCCAAATTTGTACTAAAGTGATCCACCTATCATCATAATTTTGCACATGGATAGTACAAAACTTCATCATCATTAAGACAAATCTACATTTGGATAAATAGAATCATCATTTTGGATATAATTTCCAACAGTTCTCAATAGTTTTCAATGGCTAGTAATAATATCTTTCTATTGCTCTTTCCCTACTTGTCCTATAAGTATGTGTACTCAATTTCCTTCTTCATCTGATTTTAGTATATATTCTTTTTCAAATTATGTATAGTGGATAGAAGAGAAGAAATTGTATACTCTACAATTTTATTGCATTTTGCAATGGAAAGTGAGAAATATGTGTGCACCACTAGAGGGGTATTTTGAGAGTATAGACAAAATAAAATGTAGTATTGATGCATTTACATACAATTAAGGCTATATTTTATACAAATAGTGCTTTGACAAGATTACATTGATCACAAATGTGATAGAGGAGAGGTTTAATGTGATCAAAATCATTATACTCTTAAACAAAATTGTGCAAGTTGTTTGACATGATGTCTATTTGTGTTGCATGCTTGTCATTTACATAATAGTATTTAATGGTATTTGATTGTTCGAAATGCTCTTCATAACTATGGAGCTACTTCTTTTCTTTTAGGCCATTTATTTGCTCTTTGTTTGCAACCACCCAAAAAAGAACTAACTTCATGATTGTTAGCCAAAGGGATCCCACCAAAAATTCTTGTTGTTGCCTTATGTAAAAGTGATACTACTAGCAAAGTCATTGCTTGAATTATTCACAATGAGTGACAAAAATTACGTTGCATTGCACTTGCTCAATGATCACCTATTATATGTCTTATGGAAACTTTACAAGGAACTAATTATCATTTTACTTGGCATTGTGATGAAGAAGATAAATTTATTTGTCTATTTTTTATACATTTTAACTATGTTCAACTTGCAAAAACATATCATTTCTACATTGTCATGGATTGCATATATAAAACAAATAGATTTAGAATGCCATTGTTACATATTATAAGGATGACAAGTTTTAATACCTCATTTATCATTGATGTTGCTTTTCTCTAAAAGGAAACAAAACCCTTATTTTATTGGGCATTAATCCAATTTCAACAAGTATATGGAGAAATTTGATCCATTTGCATAGGTATTGGTAGGGATTTAGTATTGATAAATGCCATTCAATTAATATTTCTCACTTCAAAAGTATCACTCTGCATTTGGCATATACAAAATAATGTGTTAGCAAATTACAAAAAATACTTTTTAAACAAAGTAGAGTTAGGATGGTCTTCATTCCTTGCAAATTAGATCACTTTGATTAGTGTATGTTCTATGGAGCTTTTTGATTTAGAGTGGACTAATCTTTGCAACAAATATATTCCTACTATTGTTCATGCAACTAATGAGTATTTAAAGAATACTTGGATACCACACAAGAAGAGATTTGTTAAAGCTTGAAAAAATAAATTACTTCACCTTAGAAGTGTTACTACATCATGAGTAGAGGGTCAACATTAAACATTAAAATCCTACTTAAAAATCTCCACCAAAGACAGAGAAGTTGAAATTTCTTCCTCACGTTTTTGAGAATACAACAAGAGAATTGAAGGTTTAATAAAGTTCAAAACAAATCCATATTCCTCAACAACACAACATTGGTTTCTTCACCATTGTTGTAAAATATATATCTTTACATGCTCTTAATCTTGTCCGTGAGCAATATAAACAAGTAAGAGCAAAAATTGATGAAAATAATTTTTCCTCTACAAAAACAATGACAAACACATTAGATCTACCATGTAAGCATGAAATACAAATTTTACTGAAAAAAATAAATGTTTTATCAGTTAGTGATTTTTATCATTAATATTACTAAATAAATACTTCTGACCAGTTTATTCTAGTACGACCTACAATTCTATTCTCTTTTGAAAGTTTATGTCCACTTTATATTATTGTTAGTTAAACTTTTGATATTTTACTTATTCACCAACAAGAAAATCTACATAAAAAATTAGTTGAGCTTTTAATAATAATTGTGCAATTGGAAAAATTTATGAGTGAACCGCCCAAAGGAAAGACCACAAGGAACAAGAAATAGAATCAAAAGTGATATGCAAACAAAAACATCAATACAATGGTCTGCACCTCAGTTCAAAACTATAGAAGCAAGGACAAGGAGGCACTTTTGCAGCAAGTTCAAGTCAATAGAAAATAATATTTGTACATATCTTACAAGGACAATTTTTCCCTTGCAATTGTCTATGAGTAATTTACAAACAAAGTAGATTTCAACAATACGCTAGCAAAACTATTTAGGAAAAATACTATATGAAGTCATTTGAAAAATTATAGATGATTATTATTTCAAGTGATATTAATAATCAATATATTTCATAATAACAAAGTGAAAATGATGTAATTAACTTCATTCTCTAATTAACATTTATTAATGTTTTAGAACAATGTATATACACAAAAAAAAAAAATGTGATACTCAAATTTTGTTTAAGAAAAAAATTAAGTTTAGATGAATTTGGCCACTTAGTGATTAACAAAACCTAAAACTTAGACATTGATTTCCTGCGATTCCTTTTAAGGCTTCGATATATCGCTCTTTCTTTGAGACTTAGGATCAAAGTAGTAGCACATGCAATGAAACAATAACCTACAGGATAAAGGCCTTTGATAGAGAAAGTAGGCATGATGTTCAGGCTCTAGGAGCAAAAGCAAGGCTACTGGAACGTTCACAAGAAAGACATTGTCTCTGGCATTGCAGATCATTAATCCCAGTAGTAAAGGATGTAAAGTTCTCGCATTCTCAATCCTTCAAATCATACAAAATGAAGACGAAGACTACGTTCAAGAAAATGCATCTATAGCAACTTTCAGATATTTGTGGTGCAGGTTATAATCAAGTCGTCAGCTTTCACAAGTTTACAATCAAATGCTGCACTGACTAAACAGCGATCACTTTGGCCAATCCCTGAGGTAGGAGGATTCAAATAATTGAGCAATGAAGAAGTACTCGCATAATGTGGTCAGTTCTTGATGTACAATCCACCGGTTGCTTCTATTCTAAATTTGTAATGGGGTTATGAATCCATGCCGCATGATCAATGTATGGAATTGATAGGGCAATATCAGATGCTTGCAAATACGACATGAAGTGTTTAAGGGAAGGCATTGGACTGAAGGAACCATCGCTTCTGATTTCTGTAGCTGCGGTTGTGAGGGAGTGTTCAAACGCTGCACCAAATAATTTACATCAGCCACTTGCTTGCCAAAATCTTAAACACAAGCTCGATTTCCAAATACAAGCCATCAATAATTTTAAGTGAGATTGTGCAAGTAGACCAGAAATAAAAATTCGTGAAATTACTCAAAGGCAAGTAACTATATCCTACGTACGCACAGCCTACGTTGAGAAGAGAGGATGATGAGATTACCTGGACGCCAACTTCGGGCATAATTAAGGTTCTTGAAGACGGGGCACGAAAACGCTCAAAATTATGATGCCTGTTGGGGCGATATCGCGTTAACTTGTCTGTGAACTAATTCCATGCACTTCCTCATGGTCCATGAGACAAGACTACGATCATCTTTACAGCCAGAGCACAGATGTTGAATTTTTATTCCACTACTTGCCAGGGCTCTAACGTCTCCAGCAATGTATCATGCTCTATTAACCAAGCGACCATGGCTTGTGGCTTATTGAGCACTGGATCTAGGGCAGGATCCGCAACAGCTGTTGTTTCCATCCACACAATTTTTTTGTTCTCGTTGCACCAATCTGGCACCACTTCCATCACCTACTCCTCGCCTAGTATAGAATACACTGCAGTATGCAATAGCCGAGCGAGGATGTGCAGGTTCTCCATAGTCTTATCAGAGGAGCTCCTTGTACCACAACATGACATGCCATTCATCAGAGGGACAGTACTTGGTTATCACTCCAAGTGACCAATTTTGCTCATAGCTGAGGACATGTGTAAGTTCCAGCTACACTCTTCTTGTAATACACCCAGGCTTGGCAAATGTGTCATTTGTCATCGTGGGCTCCAAGAATAGTTTACCATCACGCATAAGGAAACACAAAGAGAGAAGGGTAGCAGGGTAGTGATGGAGAGAAAGGAGGATTGCATGGTAGCAATGCGGAGAGGGAAGGGTCGCAGAGAAGCAACAGAATGCGAGGGCCAAGAGAGCAAAGCGGCTCCTCTTGTCAAAGAAGGGAAGGCCAACCCAACCTTCATCCCAATGGGGTAGTGAGATAAATCTGTGGCACGTCCCTCCCTCTTTTAAACGAATAATTAAGATTCTATAATTGAGGACTACCTCAGCTATCATTGTGGATGGCAACAATGAAGATTAGATTATTATCATTGTAAATAAATGTTCTTTTTG